TGTTAATTCTCATTCTAATTCTTTCTTCCATAGCTCTCATTTCTTTTCCAGTTTTTTCCTCCAGTATTCTCATTTCATTGATAAAAACATTTTTAACCCTTTTTTTAAAAAAAAAATTCAAGCTTCGTCTTTCCTAGGAATTCGAGTTTAATTTGTGCCCAAGCTATATTTTCCTTGAGGTTTTGTTCCAGACGTTTTGGAGTTATTCTCTTCTTCTGAGTTTGTGTCCTAAGCATCCCTATCATAACAACTCCTTATAGTCAGCTTTTTTTTTCTTCTTATTCTTCCAGCCTACTTCTTGACTGTGGACTTGATGTTGGGGCCAGGCTCTGTGCATTTATGGCAGGGATGTCTGGGCTGGCCCTGTTGTTGCTTTTTGGGGGGTATTGAATGTTGTCTTATTGTATCTCACAAACAGCTCAGGCTAGAGATCTGCAAGTTTTCTGATCTCCCAGAGTGGTCTGATCCAGGGTAAAATCTGATTACTTTCCTCTGGTCTGAGCTCTACAGGTTCCTGACAGGTTGGGGCTGAGCAGTAGTAGACTGCTGATGAACTCAACTAGCTGGGTGGCCCTGTTGGTTCAGAGAGAGAGAAAGCGGTAGGTTTCTTTCATGTCTGCTGATCCTGCCCTCTTTATTCCTCTGTAGGCTTCACTCCGAGCTAGAAATGGAATCTGGGATCTGAGCCACAAAGCTACTTATGACTTCTGACCTTATTCCTCTTTCAATACGCAGCCCAAGGCCTGCAACTACTTCTTATCCCAGAATGCTACCCCTACATGCAGATTGCTTCCTCAACCTACCCTAGACCAACAACACCACCAATTGACACCTGTTTCTGCATCCTCCATGAGGCTGTGGTTTCCCAGTGTGGATCTGGGACCTCCTTTTGCCTTGGTTTCACTTCCTGAATTATAATTCTCTGCATAGTCTTGTGTCCTTGGCTAGACCCCTGTCTCCAGTGTCTACAGACCTCTGCTTTCTCCAATCTGAAATGGAAAAATAACTCACTGTGGTTGTTTCTTGGATTTCCCCATCATGTTTGGTCTGGTGCATTTTCTAGATCTCTTTAAATGATTTAGGGGTGGAGAGGCTCACTGTACTTCTTCCTGTTAGTCTGCCATCTTGTCGTACCCTCGCCCCATAGCCCTGGGACCTCATTTTTTAAATCTTGTACTTCATTCATCTTCATGTAGTACTTATAAAAATATTTTTTCCTTTGAATCTGTGCTTGTAAAGTTTTACAAAATTATTTTCCATTTGAGAGATCTGTAGATTTGCAATGCTTTTTGATACTAGTTGGTATTTTCTTTAATTTTACTCTTCTGTCCAGCTTTAGTTTCTTAATTGAGGTTTTGTCCTTTGCTGCAGTGGTTGGTGCTCTTGGTCTTGCCCTGGTTCCCCTGAGTTCTTTTGCTAACTTCTACCTCCTGGGTTTAGGGTTCTTTCCTCTTTCCATCACCTTCTCTCCTCTCCTCCCCTGAACTTGAATCTTTGAGTTCTGGATCTTCACTGTTTTCTGTGGCATCTTGGCACAGGATATTAGGGACCTTAGAGCCTCTGAGTGTCAGCTGACCTGGTATGAGTACTCTCTGCAATTTCCACTGTCTCCACTGTGGGACTTTTTGATCACCCCATTGCTTTTTCCAGAGAACCGTTCAGTCTTGCTGTCTCCAGACCAAGAGACTTGCAGGCTACAACCAGCTTCTGGTTGCACTGATGTTTACTTTGCTGGAGGAGCACCTTTACCAAATTGCCTTTGGGCTTCTGGTTAACTTTGTGTAGTTCTTGGGTGTCTGAAGTCACTTGGGAGCTGTCAGGTTGGTGACCCGTTTAGGCTACCATTGGTTTCCTTCCTTCCTTTCCCTCCCTCCGTCCCTCCCCTTGTCATTGGCTTTGTTCACCAACCTTGATTTAGTCCAGTATTCATCTCTTTCACATATCCCACACTTTCCTTATATCTTGTATATATCTCCAATTTATCCTGTTTATATCTTGCTTATACATAGTTCTTTGTTTATTGTCTCCCACATTAGACTGTAAGTAACGGGGTTTGGGGGTACTGGGGCCCAGAGAATGCCAAGGCAGAGTTACCTGGAATGAATTCACACACTCAAGCCTTCTCTTAATCAATTGGCAAAGAGTTTATTGTAATGCTGTAGCAAAAGCGGGCAAAGGTCCTTACAGGAACCTGTGAGAGACTGAGGTTGGTGCTGGGATTTATATGGAAAAGGGGCATGGGAAAGGAATGCCATGGATATTAATTAGGTAATCTAAGGGTCTGGGTGTCTTTGGGAACTGTGGATGGGAAAGCGTAGGGAGTATACCAGCCATTGAGGGAGTTGTCGGAGGCATGGACCTTGGGTATCTGGCAGAAAGAAGAGTCCTTGGGCCAGCCAGAGACAAACTCCTTGGGCCAGGTACCCCTCTTTTCTGATAAGAGAATGTGTTCTGCAACAGGAGGGAATTTTCTCACAGGACAGGAGCTTACTGAGAAATTGGGAGACTTCCAGAGACATGATCTTAGGGCTGGGGCCCAAGTACCCCATCATAAGCACCTTGAGAATAGGGACGTTTTGCTTTTTTTTCTATCCCCAGTGCTGAGCACAGTGTCTGGCATATGTTAGGAACTTAATAAATGCTTGTTGACTTAACTTCACTTGTAAGTCCATGCTATTCTCTTGTATTCATCTATTTCCTGCCTTTGTTTCCATCATTGTAAACTTTTTTAGGACATAAAGTAGTCAGCGAATTTCATGTGCATCTACGTTAGTGGTCTCTTTAGGCAACTTAACCTTTTGTCTTCATCAAAATGGTTTCTCTTTATGTCTTCCAAATCTTATTCTTGAAAGTTTATAGAAGTTTACTCCATAGAATTCTACCTATCCTTTCTGTGGACCCTTTGAAATCTGCTCTCCCAAAATTTAAGCTGTATATGAGCCTATGTCTGTCTTTTTTCTGCACTCCTATCACAAACTCTAAAAGAATCATGATCTTTCCAAACAGTCAGTCTCTTCTTGTTAGTGAAAATCAATTCCAGAATTACAAGTTCCCCTCTTTTTTCTTCTAATTTTTAAAACATGAAATTATTATTAAGATAAGAAATTAACTGCTCTTATTTTTGCAGAAATGGCACTAAAAGATAACAGAATTTATATTAATGTAATGATACTTCTTGATTACAGATGATGTACGATGAAACATTTCCTTCCTCTTGATACAGGCTGTAGACTGGCAGATGTGATTGATGTGTTGGTGTTTTTTTTTAGACTTGCATCTATATTATAGTGGCTCAAAGATGGTTATTAGGAAGTGACAAAGTGTAAAAAAAAAATCATCCAAATATAAAAAAACAAATATTCTAGAGTGTGTCTGGTTAATTCATAGTTTCTCATCGCTACCATATTGTACCTCTCTACCTGGCTTGCATTCTGTTTCCTGAACTCCTCATGTATTTTCTCTTTTGGTTCAAGATCCTAATTGCTGTCATCTATCGTCCTCCCAGTCTTTCTCCCTCCTTTCTGTGTTTTTAAAAATCGTTTTTTATTGATGGCTTTTGCATCACCTAGGTTTCCTCTCATACCCTATCGCTTCCTCTTTCCCAGGGAGCCATCCTTTATGTGCCACCTCCTTCAAGAGGGCGTTCTTGATTACTCTTGTTGTTCCTGCATATCAGTGTGCATTTATTTGGCTTATGGAGCTTCTACTTATCTGGGAACATGTTCAGTCTCCTAGTATTATGGGAGCTTCTTGAGGGTGGGGCCTGTCTCACTTTGGTTTTTGTATCCCCAGTACTTACTAGCACATGGAAGGCGTGCAGTATAAGTGATCATTGTTTAATGGGTACATTCTGTCAGGATCGTTTTTGTGCATGTGAATCACAAAAACGGAAAGGCTTTATCCATGTTTCACTTCCTGTATTAGGAGGCAAAGTACAGAGTATGAAGTAAAGGGGACAAGGGAGAGAGAAAGAAACCAAGTGCCCTTGGATATTTGAGGTGGCACCAGACATTCACAACTGGAGGGAATCAAGCTGTCTGTCATCTGGTTTGAGGCTGAAAGAAGCCTGGAGAGAATTTCAAGTCATTCCAACCTTTACTGATGCATTTCTCAGTATGTGTGGAATTCCTTCCTTTGTCATCTTTCTCTCTCACACTCTCTCTCTCTCTCTCTCTCTCTCTCTCTCTCTCTCTCTCTCTCTCACACACACACACACACACACACACACACGCACGAGCCCACACACACGAACTGTGAATATGTATATATGTATATACATATATAAGGTAGTGTGTAGTGCTGTACACAGATAATAGTGAATATATATATATTTATAGATAAAATTATACACATATGTACGCTTATAAGTATGTATATAGTTTTATGTGCATATGACTGATAAATATATACAGTTATAAATTTGTATGTATATGTATGTGTGTGTATATGGGAGATATGCAGTATAAGCGCTTGTTGTTTAATGGCTAGATTCTGTCAGGATCACTTTTGTGCATGTAAATCACTAAAAATCATTTTTAAAAAAATCACTATTTGAGTAGAAGAACCCCATTAGTAGACATAATAAACATTAGGAATTCCTTTTGAAGCAAATAATGCATGTTGAGTTTTATACTCTCTTCTTCTTCTTCTTCTTCTTTTTTGGGGGGGAGGGTGAGGCAATCAGGGTTAAGTGACTTGCCCAGGGTCACACAGCTAGTAAGTGTTAAGTGTCTGAGGCCAGATTTGAACTCAGGTCCTCCTGACTCCAAGGCTGGAGCTCTGTCTACTGTGCCACCTAGCTGCCCCATCCTCTGTTTTTTAAGAGTCTTTTAGCCACATATCTTAAGACAGGAATATTTTTCAGCACCATTATTCTTTGTTCGGGTATCAGAGCAAAATATTGAATGCTATAGGGTGGTTGTAGTTGTTTATGCGCCTTCTCAACAAACATATAAATATTTTGGCAACTTCCTTATGATATTGTGGTTATTGTTCTCTAGGCATCTTGCATCTTGCAGTTGATTAAGTACATTCAGAAGCTACAAACGAAGGAAGTACCAGTGGCAGAAGAAGTGATTGCCCTGTTTGCTGGGGAGTTGAACCCTGTGGCTCCCAAAGCCCAGAAAAAAGTTCCTGTCCCCGAAGGGTAAGTCTGCTCTATCCAGTCTCAGAGTATATACTTAGGTTATCTTGGAAGCAATAAAGTAGATATTTGTGGTGGTGTTTCTTCTGTGATTGTTCCTAACCTGAACTGAGCTCACCAGCCAGTCAGAGCAGAGAAGATAGTAATTCAGAGCTTCGATTTTGAGGAATCCGTCTCTGTTAATTAACAGGAGGTAGAAGAGGAAGCTGTTCTCTTCGTTGGACTTGTCAGAATATTGGGATCTGTGCTGGGAGTACTTTTTGTGCCAGGATATTAGGTACTCAGATATCAGAAAAGGTGTTATTTTTATGTGTTACATAATTCTATTTCTCATGTTTAGTCTGGACCTCGATGCATGGATCAATGAACCTCCTTCAGATAGTGACTCTGAAGATGAAAAACCCAAAACCATTTTCCATGATGAAGAGCAAAGACATGCTAAGCATCGGCAGCCTGAGATTGATGAAGAGGAATTGGCTCGGGTAAGCAAGCTACGAAACTCTTGTTCATAGGATTATATTTCATTACTTTAATTTAACAACTCATATTTAATTTATTTCTTTAAAGAGCCTGTGGAGTGATAGTGCTGGCAGTCATTCTCATTTGATCTGTAGAGGCATATCACCACCATCTTTCCATGCTCTAAGCATCAGTTTCCCATCTTTAAAATGAGATGGATCTAGATGAACTCTCAGACCACTTCTAGCTTTCATAGTTCTGTAGTTCTGAATTTAACAACTAATGTTCTACATTTGATGCAATTTTATATTCTTGTACCAATCGAGTAATTTTCTTTGACATTTTCCTAAGATCCATTTTGTTACCATTTCTAAAAAGGATATTGCATCCTCTTGCTTTTAACTGTTAGGTTCATTGAGAAAATTTATTTGTGACAAAGCCGTTTGCTATTCACAGGCCTGGCTCCTCTTTGAAATAACCAAAAAACAAATCTTTTTGAAAATTTCGCTGTTCTTTTATAACTAAACAGATGCAGTAATCATAGTGCAAATATAAGGTTTTGTTGGGTTTTTTTTTAATCTTTTTAAAAAACACAACTCTTTTTATCCTGGCAAGAATTTACATTGATTTTTTTTTTTTACACTTGAGTTTAAAACCCAGTGTGAGGTTTTGGTATGCTATGAATAAAACTTCCTAAGGTAATTGTGAAATCAGAAGCAGTTATTTCTTTAGGTACAGATAGCCTTACCTAAGTACTGTATTAATCATACTTTTTAGGATTAATTAAGTTCAATATTTCTAGAATCTGATTTTATCAGAGTGAATATTCCTTCTGCTCTTGTAGATCCCAACTTTTCTATCCTTTCTCCAGTTCAATTTTATAAGCATTTCTGCCTTTTTTTTTTTTTTTTTTTTGGTGAGGCAATTGGGGTTAAGTGACTTACCCAGGGTCACACAGCTAGTAAGTGTCAAGTGTCTGAGGTGGGATTTGAACTCAGGTCCTCCTGACTCCAAGGCCAGAGCTCTATCTGCTGTGCCATCTAGCTGCTCCCATAAGCATTTCTTAAGTGCCAATTACATACTAGGCATTGTGCTAGGCACCAAGGATACAAAACAAAAAGAAAACCCTCCCTTTTATTCAGTAAACATTTATTAAGGGTGTACTATGTGCTAGGCACTGTTCTAGGCAGTGAGCTTACATTCTACTGGAGTGAAACAACATGTACACAGATGAGCACATACAAAGTAATTTGGGTGTGAGAAAAACCCTAATGAGTGTGGCAATCAGGAAAGGCCTCATGGAGGAGGAGGGAACATTTGTTTTGAGTTTTGAATAGACTTAGAGATACCCAGAAGTGAAAGTGGGAAAGGAGAGCATTCTAGATATGGAGGCCAGCCCTTGTGAAGGGACAGAGGGACATGGTAGAATATCAGGGATGGAGAGTAGTCCAATGGAGAATCTCTTAAGTCAACTGTGTCTAGCGTTCTGGAGATGAGCTACTCTGAACTAAGCCCTGTGCTCAGAAGATGAATAGACAGGCCTTTTACTGTAGTAAAAGCCTTTCCAGTTAGACAAGCCTGCCACTTTTTTTGCTAATCCCTCAAGAATCCATGGTCACCTTCGCACCATAATGAAGCAACACAGTAGGACTCTAATGAAGGATTATAGATGAAGCCAGGATTAAATTGATCTCTTCCAGATGACCATTCTGCACTGATGTCGAGAACCTTACAGGGTTTCCACATTTCCCTGTTTCTGTGTGTTTTGCCTCAGCTTCCTTCCTTTCTAAAATAAGTGAGGAGCTCTACCTCTTCTTCTGAAATAATTGGTCCGTTTTATAATGCTTTTCATTTAATAGCATGTGGAGGATATTGTGCAAGGATTATTATTCCACAGTCTACAGATAAGGAAACAGGTCATCCAGGTGAAGTGACTTAACCACAGTCATAATTGAGACTCAGCCTTAGGACTTCTAGATCTTTGATTCTCAGCATATTATACCACCTCTCCATGAGAGAAAAGGTTAGCAGACACAAAAGCTGTGTCTTCATGTAAGCATTTCGTAAATGTTTGTTAGACTGAATTGAACTCTTCAGATTTTTCTTCTGCCTTTTGTGAAAAAAGCAAAGACCAGAATTGTAAATTTAAGTAGTTCTGATTATGCTGTTCTTACATCATACTGAAAATTGAATTGGGATCATAATAGTTCATATCCAAATTAATCAGGCAAGAAGTGTTTCAGGTATACTTTACTGTACCCTGCCACTAAACTGAGCTTTCATTTGTTTGTTCCCTTATGCCTCATATTTAATGTTCTGTCTCAGCGTCGGGAAGCACGGAAACAGGAACAGGCCAACAATCCATTTTATATCAAAAGTTCTCCTTCACCTCAAAAGGTAAGTAAGAGACTGCTTTGTTAACTATGTTTTCTGCATGTGAGGCAGTAGCTGAAAGTAACTCTCAGTAGTGGTATGAATATTATCCTATACATTTTCTCTTCATAAGCATTGCATTTCCATCCATGTTGCATTTGGCTTTCAAATGTTCTAAATAAATTAATAGCCTTTTCTTGTTTAATTTAACAGAAATAAGGTGGCAGTTTTGTTGTTTTAAGGCAAAAAACCAAAGGAAATTTTGCTGAATAGAAGCATTTTAACAGTGTTGCAACTTTTGTTTTATAATTTTGTGTAAAGTTATACCCAACCAATGTTATTCCATATAATCTCAAATAATTTTCCTTGTAAGAAGGGAATATGGAAGAGAATAAGACAATCCATATGGTCTTCGAGCCTGAGTAATTGGTTCAAGGTCTGCAATGATTGGAGCTTCTACTTTAGCCCCAGAGGGCAAATTCCCTTTCACATCAGCTTCTAACTTTCCCATTGATGATATCATTCCCACAGAAGTAGTTGCTGTTTTTAAGTTGCTTTAGCTGAAGGTAGTTCTTTCAGGAGCATGAAGCATGTCTGGGATTCTTAACCTGAGGTCTTCGTTTTTTATTTTTAGCTGCTAACTGTATTTGAATAGAATTGGTTTCCCTTAGAGTCCTATGTGTTTTATTTTATGCATTTAAAAACATTCTGAGGAGAGGTCTGTAGATTTCACCAAAGGACTGCTAAAGGAGTCTGTGACAGAAAAAAGGTCGAGAAAGTCTGATACTGAATCTTCATTCCTTTGCTCAAAGTACCTTTCAGAATTATTCCTGTGTCTGCATTATCAGTAGTAGTAGATGAAATTGAGAGTCGCTGTGGTGGCCCACAAGATAACTGCTGTCATGCTAGTTGGCTCCATTTATCCCTATGCTCGCTAGTGTTTTTAATAGGAATGAATGTTGCACTTTGTCAACAGCTTTTTCTGCATCTATTGAGATAATCATATGATTTCTATTGATTTAGTTATTGATATGGTCAATTCTGCTGATAGATTTCCTAATATTGAACCAGCCCTGCATTCCTGGTGTAAATCCTACCTGGTCATAATATATGATTACTCACATATTTTATGTCAAAAATGGCATACACGTTGTCCTTGGAAACAGCAGACAGCATGTTGATGTGCGGCGTTCATCTCTGTTCATTGACCTGAAATTTCGCTCCTTTGGAGATTGTGATGCTTAATTATTCAGAGCCATCATCAGAAGATTATTGGTATTTAAAATATGGGGTTTTGCCTTAGGGAGAACCTGAGGCTCATTAAAAGCACTCTGCAATTACACAAATGCCGTTCAGTCTGCTCTCCTTATTCAGATCTGACCCCAATCCTTGTCCACCTGCATTGTCTGCTCAAGACATGTTCTGATGAACCCGTTCCATAGGCCATCAGGCTGACCATCCAACTCTCACACACGATGAGGACAAATGATCTTAATGATATTGTTATTCAACACAATCATCTCTGTTGTGTCTTTCAAGGAATCTTTTGCAATCCCAGTCCATGCAGGGCAGTTGTTTCATTGGAGGAGAACCTTTCAGGATTCATTTTGCTCTACTCAATCCAGTACTCGCTTATAGTCTACATATTATGTGCATAGTGGGGTTGTATTCTCTGCATCTTTTAGATATTTGTATAAATGTTGAAATGTGGTCAGTTGTAGAGTATCTTTTGTAAAAGCTTGCCTGTTCCCTTCTTACGTTGTCATCAGGGATGCTCTTGTTATTTGTGTGAATTATTCCTATAAAGATTTTATAGAAATGAGAAAGTTAAAATATGAGTTGTGGTTATTGATATCTTATTGGTTGTCTCCTTGAGATAGTAATAATATCTACAATTTTTCTAATAATAACAGTCATCTTCAATAAAATTCACGTAACTCATCAAGGTTTGCAAATCTTAGATACAATCCTATGTACATTATTTAATTTGAGCCTCAGTGCGGGAGGGACAGCACGGTGCAGTGGTGTGATGAATTTTGAGACACAATAATTGGGATTGATTTCCGGCCCTGCCACTTTACTGCCAGTGTGACCATGGGCAGGTTACATAACTTTTCAGCCTTAATAAAATCAGTCCAGTGCTCCTCCTCAGTAAGATCAGGGATTGTGTGAGATAATCCTCAAGGCTTCTTGTAGCTCTCACTCTGGGGTCTGGGAACCACCTTATGTGACAGATACTCTTGGCAAGTGGTTTTCATTCTTACATGTTTTATGGACAAAGGGATGGAAGCATAGAAAGGTTGAATTTTCTTGGACATCAAGAGAGTGTCAGAGATTGTATTTGAGGTCTTTTTCATCCTGACTACAAATCCAGCTTTCTCCATGCTCTGGAGATCCTTTCAGAGAGCTTGAAAATAGTCAGACCTGAGGAGATATGCCCTCCAAGTGAAGGATACGACGTCCTCATTACATTTCTTCTTGTCCGATATGGATCTCCATTTGTGACTTAGTTATCTTTTCCAGCTTTGAGCTTTGTGAAGATAAGCATGCTTTCTCTGCCCAATATGTAAAAAAGCTTCATGATGTACATTTACATTGGGTTTTGTGACTGTCACCTTTTCTCTAAACAAAGCTATCAATACATTCTGACATCATTAATTCAGATTTCCTTTCTGGGTCAAATTAAGCCACAAACTCATTCTTGGTGATGACTTTTGGTCAATTCTTTTAGGTTTCAGCTTAATCACTAAAGAATATACTCCCTCTGATCATCTATGTGTGATCAGCTGTAGGTAAAGTTTCTGTGGCTCTAGATGTAGAGGGAATAGTAGACTTGGGTATGCAGATTATAATCAGCTATGTTTATTTGATGTCCTAATGACCATCAAGATTTGTCCTAAAATTCTTATAGTCAATTAAGTCATATTATTACTTGCTGCTTAATCAAGTTTTTTTCAGTAATAATGCTTTTGAAATTTTAACTTTTCTAGCGGTATCAGGACACACCTGGTGTCGAGCACATACCTGTGGTCCAGATTGATCTCTCAGTTCCCCTGAAGGTTCCAGGCAAGTGTGTGCTAAAGATTTATCTTCATTATTTTCAGAAACTGGAATATCTATTTCTTCCTTGATGTCAAAACCAGAACAGTAGGCCTTCAGATTCATGTGAAGGTTCCTGTCCTATTGTCAGGGTCATAAATGAAACTTTGCTTTAGAAGAGTTGCTGATATGGCAATGACATCAAGAATGGCCCAGACTAATCAACTTATTTCCTGCAAGGTGAAAGAGGAAGGGAATTATATAGCAATATAATGTCTGGAGAGACATCATAGATAGTGAGCTGTTTGCCTCAGAGTTAGAAAAATCTGGTCAAATCCTACTCCTGGCATGCTGGCTACTTGATCCTGGCCAAGTGATTTAACCTCTCATTCACATCCTCCCACCCTTGCCCCCCAAACTTAAGACTGTCAGTTACAGAGCTGCTACAGATATGTGTTAGTAGGGAGTAGACTTACTAGGAATTCCCTACACCAATGAAGTGGCATAAGACCACTCTAAAAAGCTTCCAGTCAACAGAATTTCCCCCTGAACTGTCACCATTTGCATTCCTGGGCCACTGTCAATTTCAGAATGCAATGAAGTATGCCTCAAATAGAGGTTAAACCTCCCCCCCCCACCAGTACAATTGTAGAAGACCGATTTTGTAGCTTTTGTTTTTATTTCTACGTAAGAGGAAAATTACATTTCTCTAGAAATGCTAAGTTCAGTAAAGAAACAAGTTCAACCCAGAAAGGAATTTCCCATCTGACTCCTTTCTTCAGTATATTGTCAACAATATACAGAGAAATATAGAAAAATTTCATCATTAGGAATTGAGACTGAATACCAGGGGCCTTCTGTGCCAATTTGTGTAAAAAGAGGTTAAGGCCAAAATGTACTTCTCCACTGCCCAGAAAAAGGAACAGTGAATAATCTTTGTATCTCCTTAAATCTGGTATAGTCCTTTTTGTATGTAGCGGACCCTTAATGAATGATTGAATTAATAATCCACTAATTGATTCTCATTACCAGAATTTGTTCAAGTGCTAAAAATCATTTCACAAATTATAGTGAGTAATAAATATTATAACAGTATTGATTTTTAGAAAAATTTTTTTAAAACCTTTACTCAGTATGATTTTTGAGCCATGTAAATTTTTAACAAACCATGAGGTCATATATATATATATATACACATATATATATATATATACACACACATATAGATGAAATCCTTTTTTTCCTGTAATTTATGTGTGGGTGATAACATTCAGCATCTTTTGATGATCACTGTTAGAAAAATGAATAAAGACTAAAATAAGAGCTTGGCATTGATGAATATTGATCTAATTCTTTTGAATCTTGATTGGATTTGAATTATAGGCTCGTATATTTACTGGCTTTATGTCATAGAAGAATTTTGTCTGGAAAAACTACATCTTAAGGTCAGAATGGTGTTATTCTGGTAGCCAGGGCAGGATGTAAGTGATAGATCCATAAGATTTCCTTTCTTTCCTCTTACTAAAAAAGTTTTGCCCTTTTTAAATTGACTTCTTTTCTATTTGCATTTCATTTCCAGATATATCTCTCCCCTTGCCTCTTTTCAGTGAACCATAGCCAGTAACAAAAAGATTTTTAAAAGAAGAGGAAAAGGCAGTTCAACAAAACCAGCACATTAACTAAATCTGATTGTATATGCAATATTTCACTCCTATAAATCCCTGCATCTAGGTGGTGCAGTGGATAGAGACTGGAATCAGGAAGATCTGAATTCAAATTTGGTCTCAGTCACTTACTAGCTTTGTGACCCTAGACAAGTCATTTAGCCCTGTTTGCCTCAATTTTCTCATCTCTGAAGTGAGCTAGAGAAGGAAATAGCTGGACTCCAGCCATAACTCCATATAATAACTCCAGCGTCTTTGCCAAGAAAACCCCAAATAGGGTCACAAGGAGACCGAACTACATAATACCCCTACCTCTACAAAGAAGAAAGGAAGATAAATTTTCTCAGCTATTCTTTGGAGCCAGCTTGGTCATTATAATTCTTGTGATTTATTTTCAAGTGTAGAGTTTTGTAGTGGGGAGCCTATAGCTCAGTTTTTCCTGAAATTGTAAAGAATGTGTTAGATACCCAATGACTGTTTTGTTGAATTGATAACATTCCAGATCAGGAGTTGTTAAAATCTGACCCGAGGACCAAATCCAGCCCACCCTCTGCTCCCCTCCCCCATTGATAGATAGTACCTTGGGTTCCTTCTAGATCTAGTATTTATGAATGTTATTTGGCCAGCTACGCCCAAAGAGGCTGAGGATGAGAGCAGCTAGCAAACATAACAAAAATAACAGGGCCTTATCACTAGACATGCTTTCCTCTGCGTCCTTCAGCTTTGAAAACGAATGCCTTTCCTGCATTACCAAGTTGTGACTGAGAGCAGATCTTCTACATCTTGACTGGCGGCAGGGAGGGAAGTTCAGCAAACCTGTCGTCAGCACCTGGGTTAAGCAGTAGTGATACAAAGACGAGAAGGGCACAGTCCCTTCTCGAAGGTGTCTGCAAGCTAGCTGGAGCAGTGGGGTGAAGAATAAATATACAATAACTATGATACCAGGGAGAGGAGGTCTGCTTCAAGTTCCGGGAGATATTGAGGAGGGGGAAGACACTTTCACCTGTAATGGTGGTGTCAGAATATGATTCCAGCAAGGACTTGGAGGGAAAGGACTTAAGAGGGAGGAGGGGGTCAGAGAGGGGCCATTCCAGGCACTAGGGTCAGTGAGCAAAGACAGACCAAAAGGAAGGGCGGCAATGCCATGCTCTTGGTTTACTTCTCCCCCACCATCATGAGAGAAATTGGGAGCTGGGGATGAGCCCTTCTGTACCATCTCTGTTTCTTTCCTTTGCCACTGATGCCTTTGAAACTTTGTGGCTCTCTGTCCTTGAGTTTAGAGTCTTAACAGGCTTTGGGCCCCAATGCTGTAATTGCACCCTCTGTAGGTATTCCGATGTCAGACCAGTATGTGAAGCTTGAAGAAGAACGGAGACATAAACAAAAACTTGAGAAAGACAAGAAAAAGAAAAAGCAGAAAAAGGAAAAGAAAGGCAAGCATCGCCGGCACAACTCGCTTCACACCGAAAGTGATGAAGACATAGCCCCTGCCCAGCAAGTGGATATCATCACCGAGGAGATGCCTGAGGTGAGCATCCCACACGCCTCTCCCCTCACCACACTCCCCTCTCTTTTCATTCCTACATACTGTAGTCTTTGCTGGGTAAGGCATAAGGCATAGAGTTAACCCATTCAAGGTACGGCTGGCTTTTCCCCGGGTCTGTGTTTCCATAGCCTCCCGAGCCACCGTAGTCTGAGGTCCTGACTTCTCTTCTAGAACAGGACCCTGCTGAATGACATTGTCCTGCCATTCTACTTCCTTTCCTATTTCGACATCCTTAAGGGTCACACTTTATGGGGAGAAAACACCAAACCAGAGGCAAGAAACCTAACAAGAAAGCAATGAGTCAGTTGTGATTGGTAACAAACGCACATCACACCTTTTGGCTAAGCAACATAGCTTCCTCATCCGTTACCTTCTGCTGCATCACTATTGGTTTAACATACATTTTACTCAGTAGTCATTTTTACATAGAAGGTCTATAACATATGTGGGGCATTGTTTTAAATGACAATTTAACTTGTTTTTGGTAGAATCCTCTCCTAAATCATATAGACAGAGTGTCCATCTATGGGCCCCAGCAATAAATTCTGCTGCCCTAGTATGTGTTGGTTTCTTGAGCACCATAGTGGAATATTTCCTTCTTAGTGTGCCTTTGGAAATGTGAGCATTAACTCTGTAGACAGCTTTCAGCCTTTTCATATAAAACTAGAGTCTGAGGCTATCTTTTCATTGGGGCTCCTCGGGTTATGAAGCTATACCCAGTTAGAATGGATGGTTTCAATATAAACAGATTGGCTCTCTTTTATTTCTCTCTCCCTAACCCTCCCTCCCCCTACCCCCAGAATGCACTTCCAAGCGATGAAGATGACAAAGATCCCAATGATCCCTATAAGGCCCTGGACATAGATTTGGATAAGTAAGTAAATTGAATTCTTTAGCCTTTTGCCTATTGGTTGAAATGCTTCTGAAAATGTAGTAAACAATTCCATTATTTAGGAGCTTTTGTGGCCAGAAAGGTTAAAGCGTTTTTGAATCATAGACTCCCTATAATTAAAAGGGTCATGAGGGTCCATCTGGTTCAATCTCTTTCTTCATGCATGATTCCCCTCTGCAACATCCATAATACTCAGCCTATGCTCAAATACCTCTAAGAATAGGGAGTTTACTACCTAATAAGGTATACCCTATTCCATTTTCTGACATTCTCAGGGTTAGGAAATCTCCCTATAATTTTCACCCATTGCTCTTAATTTTGCCATCTAGAGCAAAGCAAAATAAGCCTCCTCATTCTTCCATGTGCCAGCTCTTTATTTAAAAATCAAGATCATGAGCCCACTAAGTCTCACCTTTTAGAGAAGGAAATGGTAAATCATACCAGTATCTTGGCCAGGAAAACCCCCAAAAAAGGGTCACGAAGAGTCAAATTCAACTGCAATGACTGAACAGCACATGTGTTCTCCAGGTTAAAACAGCTTTGGTTCCTTCAGTTAGGTTTCACAGGGCGTGGTTTTGAGTCTGCTCGTTTTCCTAGTTGTCCTTCTTTGCACGTGCTGCAACATGTCCTAATTCTTTCTAAAAATGTCCCCAGAATGAACCCAGGTGTCCACCCAGTGAGTTAGAAAATTTTCATGTTTTCCGCATTATCTGAGATCGTTAATTGGTTGCTTTATTTTTTTTGCTCCCGTTGCTTTATTTTTTTTGCTCCTTCTTCACTTTTAAAACATACACACACACACACACACGCACACATGCACACACACACGCACGCACGCACACACACATGCACGCACACCCCAGAACAGCCCTCTGGTTGGGGATTTTCCTCTATACAATATAGGTTTATCAACCAGGCTACCTTAGGGCAGACCCAGCAGAATGAAACTGTGAGGTTCCCCTGAGGCTCTGCTGGCTGTCCTAGATCCATCTCCTAAGCTATGCTCCTCCATTCTACTATCTCAGAGAGAGTTTGGCGTGAGAGAGAGCCCTGACTGACAACGTCCTTTCCTCATTAGTTCTGCTCCTACAGAGAGAGCTAGATAAAGCTCATTCCTTTCTGCACTGGAATGGTGTTATCCCCCACCCCACCCCAATTTCATCCCCTTGAACTCTTGAGCAAAACAGCTACTTCACATATCTGAAAATCTTGAACAGTTAAGTCCCAGTGGAGCAAGTGCTTAGGCCAGCCATGGACAGAATCACAGAGTCAGGGAATTGTCTTGAGTGTTCTGTCCGTGCTGCTTGTAGTGATAGCCATCGTGGTTTCTAACAGCACATTTTGATACCTCACCTTCCATCCAGCCAGCATGACCTTTCTTGAAATGAAGGTCAGAATCTTAGGAGGCCTCAGAGTTTTTAAGCAGCTGACATCCATTCAAAGTGCCCGCTCCCCCTCTCGTCTTTGTCTCCACAAAGGTTAGGACATCTTCCTTCCATTTATAGGGCCATTTCAGACTTTTGATTTTATCATAGGATCATAGCTGTAGAAGCTCGAAGGTACCTCCTCAGCCAGCCTAGTCCAAGTACCTTAATTTATAGTGGAGGAAGATGAGACCTGCCTCTTAGTGACAAGGTCAACTCAAGGAGTGAGGTCTTCTGGCTCCTGAGTTCAGGCTCTTTACGCTGTAATAATAGTAGCTTGCATTTGTATAACACTTTAAACTTTGCAAAGCACTTTGATGTGTTCCCATTTGATCTTCACAGTAACCTTGATAAATAGGTGGCATTATTATTATTCACATTTTACAAGTGAGGAAACTGAGGCTTGGAAAGATTACGTGATCTGCCCATGGTCTTAAAGCTAGTGAATGTGGTTGTAGAGAACTCCAAATATGGAAACTCCCTCCACCGATCCAGATCAGCACCTCCTCTGTAACTTGTCTTAGAGGATTCCTTAGGAGGACTGAGAGGCTAAGTAACTCACCCATATACAGTGTGTCAGATGCTAGACTGGATTCCACACCATCCCGACTTTTAGGCCAGCACTGCATTCCCTCCAGCATCCTGCCCCTTATGCAAACCTTAAAGCACTGAATAGCTGTCAGCTACTATGGCCACGGAGCACTTTCTGGATTATTGGCATTGTTCTTCTCCTGCCCCTTTTTGTTCCAAGAATAGATACAAGTCATTGTCAATTTTGGCATGGGCTATAAACCAAGAAAGAAATATGAAGCTCACTTCCCATAATAGTTTGGAAAACTATTCCTTTTAAATTTGTTTTGGTTCTGTGTTCTTCCTAAAAAATTCTCACCCACTCTGACTCTAGCTGCAGGGGAATCTGTGATAAATAGCACTGTCATTTTCACTGTGTCATTTCTGATAGTAGCTTGATTACTGCACCAGGGGAAATGAATAGAAGTTTTTCCATCTTTTATTAATAACTGGTATTGCTTTGCTAGGCTTAAAAAAATGTTTCCCTCGCAACAATAGCTTTGGTAAAAGCCAGAGCAGTTTTACTGATGAGATATTTCTTTGAAATAACAAAGCTCTTATCAACCATTCATTGAAAAATACATGTTTGGCATTCTAGTGGGTAGGAAATAAGTCATGGACCTATTGGCCAATTTTTGCAACTGCAGTTGAAACAAGATTGCAGGTTGCTTCAGGCCACCACTTTTCTATTTGTTTAGAGTGGATAAATTTATGGAAAATCTTGGTTTACACATGGGAATGAGTAGGTCCAAGCTTTACCCAGCTTTTCCATTTAAAGACAATTCTGCATTTCTGGTTTTCTGCCAAGCAGTGTAGAAGGGAACTCTTTTTTAAGCACTCTTTAACCCTAAATGGCTTGTTCATAGTCATAATCCTTTCCTACTTTCTAGTTGCCTGCTGTGGAAATTACCAGAAAGTCATAGCTTTGGGTTAGATATTAACAGGAGCAGCCAGTAAGATTCTTAAACAGCAACAAGACTTCAGGTGCTATACAAAAGGCTTCTAAACCAAAGCAAAAGATGCATTTATGGGAAATTTCATATTGGAATTGTTTCTAAATTAAATGATGTTCCCAGTTGAAGATGCTTGGTTCTTCATACTGTGTCTGTCCATTCTCTTCTCACCTCTTCAGACCCATTGGCCCCCGTCTGTCCGTCACTTGTTCTCATAACCTCTGTCCTCTCTCTTTCTCTTTCTCTCTGTGCTCACATTGCCATGTCTATCTCTCACACCCACATGCAGTCTGGTTTCAGGGAAGCCTCTCAGGTAAGATATCCCAGTATTTCAGCGTTCTTTGAAAAAATCGGTTTGTTGTCCCCAAAACAGTGTTGTATAGCTTCCTAGGATCACACATGGTGTCATCACATCAAAACCTAAACTGAATGGCCACTTTTTCTTAGTGACTTTTCTCATGAGTCATGATGTCAGGCTTCTGGGAAGCTGAGTGTATTACAGTCTGTTACTGCTTATTAGCTAAACCAGCAAGTGATCCTTGGGAGTTTACAATGTTTTGTTTTAAAGTAAAATTAGAATAGGCTCCCCTCTGCCATCTTTACTAGCTGACAACATACTAAAGCAAGCATTTAAACTATATTAATGCTATCCCAGAAGGGTTAACAATTTGAACTGGTCAGCAAACCTGGAAAGTACTAAATGGGCTTCCCCCAGTTTTGTCTTTATCCTAAGATGCAGGCTGTCTCAGTGTTTATTTTTAAATGCAAAGCCCTAAACTTACAGGGGAAAAAAAAAGAGTGTAATTCTGAGTATCTGCATCTGCATGGTATATGGAGTTAGATTAGAATACCAGCTGGTGATTACCACCCCCCACCCCTTACTTCTACAGACAAACAGTTGCTTGGTGAGGAGGGAATCTTGCTTCCAAATCACTAGAGTCCCCAGTTTCCAGGCTTGAGGAAAAGAAAGTACTAATCCCTCCTCTGATCTGTGGACGTATCTGTCTTATCCACCTGGTAAGACCTGAGGAGTTGTCACATAGCTTGCTTTGTATGGCAGTTTGTGTTATCTTGAATTTTGAGTTTTTCCTCTTCTTGACCCTCAACTCTTTAAGGATAATGTGGCTTGGGAGGATCTAAGACAGGGTGTGTTTGTGTTCCCACACTGTTTTTCTTGAAAGTGTTATTTAATCTGCACGTACTTTTGTTATCCTCAAGTGAGCAGATAAGGTTAGTATGTCTATAGTCAGTCAGTCTATAGTTTTTAAAATGCATGCAAGAGAAAGTGATCTCTGGCTGTGCACAAAAGATTCCCTTTGGAACCCTTAAAGTATGCACACATCACAAGCTTTCGTGCATCAGTGGGGTTTCTAGGCAAATATTTATTTCTTTAGAGCACACACTTTGGGGAAATTAGTGAATGTTCTGGGATTGATATGGTCTCTGTCACCAAATATTGCCCTTCTTTTTTCTTTTAAGGCCCTTAGCAGATAGTGAAAAACTACCAATCCAAAGACATAGAAATGCAGAGACCCCAAAATCCCCTGAAAAAGAAGAAATTCCTGTGATAGAAAAGAAGAGCAAAAAACCCAAAAAGAAAGAGAAGAAACACAAAGAAAGAGAGAGAGAAAAAGAAAAGAAAAAAGAGAAAGAAAAAGAGAAAAAGGTAATTCTTGCTAGTTTCTTGCCACCTGGGGCACTAACCAGCTCTTTGAGAGCGGGAGCTGTGACTTCTTGTTTTCTCTTTCTTCCCAGCACCTGACAGGCCTGGACTTTCCACAGGCTGAGACATGGTGGCATGGTGGGTGGGGAGTGAGGGCAGGAGGCTTATGCTCTCTGGGCCTTGTCTCCATCATCCATAACATGGAGAACCATAACATGCATTACCCGCCTCAGAGGGCTATGGTGAGGAAAGTATTTTGTAAACATCAAAGTGTTATAGAACTGGGTGCTGCAGTTATAAATCTTGAATATTTTGTTTATAAACCTTGTCAGACCGCCTCTGCCCCCTAACTCATATGTGAAGAATCAAGCCTTGGCTGAAACTTTTCTTATTGTTTTTGACTCAGAGGTAAATTTGTGGAATTTGCCTTAGTTAAATCTTTGTAGGTCTTTCTGGTTTAAATAACCGAGTGGAGCTGGTAGGGAATTGCCCCTTGCCACATTCCAAAAGGCTGGAAAGACTTCAGGTAAAGATGCAGAAATAAATTGTGATTCCTGTCCAAGGAAGCTCATCATCAGAAAGGTGGCCATTGGGTTCTAAATTTAGGGGGATGATGGAAGCTCAGGAAATAAATTTTTAAAAATACAAACGTTTTATGTCGTCCTCATCTCTTTCTGCAATGGCAGGATAGTAGAGAGAGATGGAAGGTCATGGGAGTTTGAGATGGATAAGAGCTTAGAGGCCTTTAAGTCCAACCACCTCTTTTTACAGTTAAGGAAACTGAGGCCCAGAGAAGAAAAGTGACTTGTTCAGGGCTACCTAGGAAGTAAGCAGCATTGAAATTTGAACCCAGGGTCTTTTACTCCAAATTTATTGCTCTTTCCACCGGACCACAGCGTGGTATATGCTGGCATGCCAGAAAAGATATTCATGACTAAAAAGATTGGGCTAGTCATGTAGTTGAAGTTGAGGGATAATAATTGGACAGCCTAAGTGCTGACCTGATCATCACCAAAACATCACAGGAACCAGAGGAGGGCTTCCAGCACAGTGAGTGACTCTTCACTCTGGAGTATGTACAGAAAAAAATTGGCAATTGCCCAGCAGAGGAGTAGCAGTCTACCAGTGAAGAGGGTATATCCATACCACTCAGATCATAGACTCATTAGGGCATCCACCATGTTTCATGTTTCACTAGATGTTGATACTCCGTGAATCACTGAACTATCATCTCTGTGGTCACATCTGTCCTAGAAACTTGTATGACTATAATCTTGAGAAACACCATGTTTGAAGCCTTTAAGACTATGTTTTGTTCTAATGACTAGCTAAATCCTATTTTAAGATGTACTTTTTGTTTATATGTCAGTGAGTTAACACATTCCTGGACAAACTGAGCCAAATCCATATTGACAATCTCATTATTAATTAAATTAGAAGCTGTCACGAAGTTACAGCTAAGTGTTTTTGTGAAAAAATGCCTCCAGAATTACAACCTAAGTTACTATAGAACAAAACCCTGGCATTAAAGGGGGGATTGGCTGAGTTTTTCCTCTTCTTTGCCCTCCTTCCTCCTTTCCTTTGCCAGCCAGAGCAAGGGGGCAGGAACCACTTCTTGAGTCTGCAACACCTAGGAAGAGAGAAGGAAAGGAATATAGGAAAATCTTTAGAGATAATGGGCAGCGAAGGGGAAGATTGCTCTATTCTGCCAAGGATTCCAGATGAAAAGGATATAAATTAGGAACTGGATAAGAACATAGTCACACAGTTCTCGTCTGCCTTTGTCTTCATGATGGTAATTATGTCTTAACAGGATGTGAGAGAGAAAAACTGAGTAACTTCTTATTCCATATGTTTAAAAAAAAAAAGCCCATGACCTTGTTTTTTGTGCTGAAACCTCATCTCTCCTTTATTTAAGGGGGAAGACTTGGACTTCTGGCTTTCTGCTGCTCCACCAGCTGCCTCCACAGCACAATCACCTGTAAGTGCACACAGTCCATACAATGGCTCTTTAGAGATATAAGAACATACTTTCTCAGGCTTAAGAATGAGTGAAAATATAGTCCTCTCTGGAAATGACTGGCAGTGTGAGCAACTCCACTGAGTTGACAGGAAGTTCACTGTATTCCCCTGGGGCAAATGTCCCACCAGAGTTGTGTGGCTTCAAGAGGAAACCAGTCTGGTGCATGGTGGTGACATTGGCATTGAGGATGGTACAAATCATGTATCTGTAGATGAGCATCAGTGCTGCCACTTATATATTATATAGCCTTTCAAGCTAGACACTTTTGCCTGGTTATCTTTGTTCCATTGGTCACCTCCAAATAAAGTTCTTTAGGGTATTTGAGGGACTTTTTCTTCCATTTATGATCCCTTTTTGAGAAAACCCATGAGCCCTTGGTTTCATACTTCAAGTCTTCTTCTAAAGATTAAAGCCTGGGACAGCTAGATGATGCAGTGGATAGAATACCAGCCCTGGAGTCAGGAGAACCTGAGTTCAAATCCGGCCTCAGATACTTACCAGCTAACTGTGTGACCCTGGGCAAGTCACTTAACCCCTATTGCCTCCAGAATTAAAAATTAAAAATTAAAAAAATTTTAAGAAGATTAAAGCTTTTTTGCCATCGAGATGCTTTTCCTCCAGAATTGATGTTGGCAACAGGTCTTTGAGAGGAAAGAACTTGATCATCTTCTTTTGAATTTCTTCTTGGTATTTCACAAGATGATGGGCACATAGATGCTTAATAAATGTTTATTGAATTGAATCGACTATTTCCACCACTCCAGCCAAAGAGAATCACAGTTGGGAGAGGTTTGAAAACCTGACTGTTTCACATTAACTGTTAAAAGTGGGGCTGCTGCTAGCTTAGAAATTATTTGTAGTATATTAGACTAGAGAGTAAAGCTCCAGCCCCTTAATGGGTAAAGGTTAGCTTGGTTTGCAGCAGGAATTAGGGCTTCAGACTACATTAGCCCTATAGATCCATTAGCCACACACATACACTAACATGGGCTTGTTTGTATCCAGTTCACTTCAGTTAAAACAAACTGTTTATCCTCTTGTACAGAATGAATCTAATGTAAATACAGTTATAGCTGTGCCTGAAGACTATGAGGAACCTAAAAAAGAAGAGAGAGAAGATGAAGAGGATGATGAAGAAAAGGTAAGCAAATATCAACAGTGCAAATAGAGGCAGTTGTTTCTTAATAAATGTTGGTTGGAACGTTGACTTAGGAATTCTGATAAACACAATAACCAACCACAATTCCAGAAGCCCCTTGAAGAAGCATGCTGCCCACCTCCTGAAAGAAGTGATGGTCTCAGGGTGTGAGACATGGATTTTTTGTATATAATTAATCAGAAATTTATTTTGTTTGATTATATACATATTTGTTACATTCCCCCAGTGGAGGGAAGTGGGAGAAAAAAGAAATAATTTTTTGTTATTTTTTTTTAACTTAATTTAAAAAATTAAGGATGATGACCTCAAAATAAATAAATAAATAATGGTTGAATAATAGGCTTCTATAGCTCTTGCAAAAACAAAACAAAACAAAAAAACTACTGTTGATAATAGTAATCTTAGAAATTCAAACAACCTAAAAGCCACGCTGCCTTGGCTGCGCATACTTCCCAGAATGGGAGTAGTCAGCAATTACAATATGGCAGTCCCCAAAGCTAATGCAATCTTAGGCTGTGTCATGTCCGATAGTAAGAGGAGATAGTCCTGCTACCTGTCTTAGTCAGAGTTAGTGTAATGTCTTCCATGCTGGGGGCCACCTTTAGGAGGGTCATTGATAAGCAAGCTAGAGAATGTCCAGAGAAGGGCACCTAGGATGGGACAGGGTCGTAAGATCACACCATAAGAGCATCAGCTGAAGGAACTGGGATGTATTATCTACAGTTATACAGTTAGGGGGAACGTAATTGCTGCCTTCAAGTATATGATAGCTGTCTTAGATGAAAGAAGCATTAGACCTGTTCTGTTTGACCCCAGAGAGGAAAACTCGAAATAAAAGTTGAAATGAGGGAAATTTAATCTTGACGAAAGGAGAATTTTCCTAACAATTTGACGTATTAAAAAGTGGAATGGGCTGCTTCAGGAGATATTGTGAGTTTTTTCTCACTGGAGGTCTTTAAGGGAAGGCCATGTCAGATATATTGTAGAGTAGATTTTTGTTCAGGTTAGGGTTGAGCTTGATCCCATTTGAGTAAGGCCTCTTCTTTACTTGGAGATTCTGGGAGCTGGTAGGTGTTGGCCCAGAAGTGGGAAAGTGCAGTGTTTTCTACGTCATCGTTCAGTCGTGGAGTTCTAATCTGGCTGAGACACAGAGCAAGTCTAGGGGCATAGAATGAGATTAGGCTGGTGAAAACCTTATCAGATAAAAGGATTGATTATTCTGGAGGGAGTTTGGAACCACTGAGGGATTTTGAGCCCAGGAAGGGCATGACAATATCTCAGGATGAGGAGGTAGGGCTCTAATGTTGTAGGGTGAAAGATGAAGTCAAGGGGTTCTCTTTGCAAAATTTACTTTGGAATTTGATGCTTTAAAGTTGTGTCAGAAGTATAATTTATAGAGACATTAGTCACTCTTCCATAAATATTGAAGCCTCAACTGTAAGGAACCATTTTAAGAATTTATTGTTGACTCTTTTTTTGTTTCTAGAAATCCTCCAAACATAAGAAGAAAAAGCATAAGAAGGAAAAGGAAGAGAAGTCCAAGGACAAAAAGAAATCCAAAAAGAAGAAGCCTGCAAGTGAAGATGAGCAAGTGGAAGCTATACAAAATGGCACCCTTGATGATGAGCCCCTCCCGGTAAGGGAGTGCTTAAGATGGCTTTTTGGACCCTGAAAGAAGTTGGGAATGGGCATGAGCTCCCCAGTTGGAGGGGAGGTGGTATTGGGCACTTAGAACCAACCAGAATTTACTCAGCAGGTTCCCACAGATATGATCTGGTTTTGACTTAGAGAAAAGAAGGGACTTTGGCCTCAGCAGATTTTATCCTCACAGGGAGTTCGGAGGGCTAGCACCTGCCCAGAATGGTTACCTGGGCTGTCTCTGCCAACTTGGTTTTGCCTTGCAGAGACAGTTTGATTGTTATTGTGATAATTTGTGCTTCAGTAGTCTTTCCTTCACAAAAACCCTGGAAGGCTGAGTAGAGCGGGCATTGTTATCCTGCTATGACACTTGAGGACATGGAGATGCCAAGAGGTTAAGTAACAATAAATGAAGGAGCCAGGATTCAAACATAATCCGCAACTCTTTCCTCTCTCTTCCCGTGCTTCTTAGTAGCTTGTGGTGGTTTGGTTAACAAGTTCCCCAGTGTTCTGTGGAGCAACAATAAGTAAGCTTTTATTAAGCCCTTCGTACGTGATAGGATGCAAATGAAGTAGACATTGCCCTCAAGGAGTCATTTCTAACAGGACAGACAACTTCTCTATATAGAGGTATATACAAAATAAATGGACCAGAAGGCCCTGAGCTGGGGGATGGGGAAGACCAGGAAAGGCCTCCTGCAGAAGGGCCTATGGGAGCAGAGGGCAGAGGTGGCCTGTTGGGTTGGAGGGAGGAAGCAGTTCAAAGGCTAGCTTGACTGGATGTAGTGTGTGGAAAGGCGAGTAAGGTGTCATAATGCTGGAAAGGCAGGAAGGGCTTTAAATGCTAAAAAGAGGAATCTCTATTGGTCCTGGATGTCACCATTTTAGTTGGGGGTGATTGTCAGACACGTACTTGAAGAAAGCCCCTTTGTCTGCTGTGGAGTGGGCAGAGGCATAAGACAGGGAAAGCCAACCAAGAGGCTTATTGAAATGGTGCAGGAGGGAGCTGAGGAGGGCCTCAACTAGGTTGGTGGCTGTGGGAGGGGAGACGGGGTGTCTGCAAGTGTTGTGCATCAAGAGGGGGGGTTTCTGTTGGGCCTCTTGATCCCAAGCTAGGATTCTTCCTAGTTTTCAAAGCAGCCATATAGCTCAGGCTTATTTTGTTTCCTAAGAGTAAAAATTAACCCATTCCCTTTAAATTGTGATGCAGCATCCACCCTTTTAGTATGTTTTGTATGGTTGGCACTTGCTAGTGCCATTCTTGGGGCTAAGTTGTATTTATTACCTTGAACTCCAAGATCATCAGCAAGATTTGTTAGCAGATGATAAGGGTCTCACTTACTCAGTGACCAGATTTCTTTACCTTCCATAAGCTTTCTATACTGAAAATGTTTTTTTTTTTTTTTCTCCAGCCTATGTCCAGTTACTGCCTTCTAGCTGAAAATTCTTTCATTAAAATGGTGAGTAACCTGGTCTGGAGTGTACCAGTGTGGCTTAGAGGAAACAGTCTGATATTAAAGAGTGCCATCCTTCCTGCTGAGGTTGATGAGCATTAGTTGGGATGAGTCACCAGTTCCTCAGCAAGGGGATATAGTTGTCTTCTCATTAAAAGTGTCACAAGGATGTATGTTGTTAGTAAACCCCGCGCCCCCCCCCCCCAAAAGTGATTAGGCCACAATTTCCTTATTGGTCTTCATATAGCCTGCATCTTTTTTTGCAAATGAAACCTAATTATCATGTTTAATTGGCGTTATTTTTCTGTGGAAATGTGCGTATTTTTCTTTTCATAGATCTCATTTTACAGTGAGTGGACTATTTTTGAACTAATGGTACATATTTCCAAGCTGTTCTTTAAGTGAATAAGACAGGAAATGACAATCAGTGTACTCTATTGGGAGTATAGCATATCCCCTGATATTTGCTTTATCTCTAAAATGATTTTTAAAATTTTTTAGCTTATATTTTTTATTTACTTTATTTCACAAACAGAGAATTTATACAAACCAGATTAGATTTTGAGGGGGAAAGTACAGCTTGTATTTGGGCAGCTAGGTGGCACAGTGAATAGAGCGCTGGGCCTGGAGTCAGGAAGACCCATCTTCTTGAGTTCAAATCTGGCCTCAGACACTTAGTAGCTGTGTGACCCTGGGCAGGTCACTTAACCCTGTTTGCCTCAGTTTCCTCATCTGTAAAATGAGCTGGAGAGGGAAATGGCAAACCATACCAGTATCTCTGCCAAGAAAACCCCACATGGGGTCACGAGGAGTGGAACATGACTGAACTACAGCAGACAGCCTGTATTTAGACCAATCTGTTAGGATTTTTTTCCCCTTATTTCTGCTTATCTGACCTTAACCTTCATTCTGGACTTAGCACGTACTGAAGACAACTTATACAACTCCTTTCTGTCTTGGCTATTTGCAGACATATGACATTCAAGGCAATCTTCAGAAGGATAGTCAAGTGACTGTGTCTGTGATTTTTGAAAACAAGAGTGATAGCTTCCTGAAAAGCATGGAACTAAACGTTCTGGATTCACTGAACACAAAAATGTCTCGGCCGGAAGGCACCTCAGTGCATGATGGAGTCCCTGTGCCTTTCCAGCTGCCCCCTGGTAAGCAACCTGAAGCCAGACTAGCACATCTCTCTGACCAGGGAGTGGGGGGGGGGGGGGGAGGCGCACGCACATGAGCTGTAGCTGAGGAAACACTTTGATCTTTCATCCCAGTCTAAATAGCAAAATATGGGTGAAAGGACTTGGAAACTTGAAAACCCTGGCAGCCAGTACCCTCCAAAGATGACCCACTGAAAGGCATTTCATGACACTGTAGCAATAGATGATGGTGATTCCCATGGTAAAATCCAGAGATCCCACTGATGTTCAGCCAGTCTTTCAGTTGCAGCAGGATTCCTCTCTGGCCAGCTGTCCCCTGTAGCCCTATTACAAGACTCTGTATCCCAAGTCTTTAGCACAACGCCTCACGTGCAATAAGCGCTTATTGTATGTTCATTGATGGATTGACCATGCAAATATGCAAATTCAAACTGCTGATATTATAGTATCATGAAAACATTCAGCACTCACATGAATCTGGAATAAACTCATCATTACAACATGATAACCACATATGCTAATTACATTTTAGTTCATATTTTCATAATACTTTAAGGTTTACAAAGTGCTTTCTCTCACAACAAGCTTCTGAGGTAGGTTGTACAAGTATTCTTATCCCCATCCTACTAATAAGAACACTGACTCTGAAAGGGTGAGGGATTTACTCATGGTCATGGAGTAAACATAGGAGCCAAGGTTCAAATCCAGGCCTGCTGACTCCAAAGCCAGTGTTCTCTCTGTACTTGCCAGTCCAGGACTGAATAGATTTTCTTTAGATCTAGAAGTTATCTCCAAAATATAGGAACCAGATTTTTTTCTTCCAGTTTTCAAGTGAAGAAAAACAAGAAGACTTACATCTAACTTTAGGTAAAAATACAGATGAGGGTTTCCGGGGCTCAGAAGGCCCATAGGACTTGAAGTTGGAAGGGACTAAAGAAGTCATTTATTCAAATCACTTCATTTCACAGATTAAGAAATTGAGGCCCAGTGAGGGGAAGTGATTGCGTAATGTCACACAGCTAGTAACAAAGCCAGAATTTAAACCAATTCCAAATCTGTACAGTGCTTGCCATATAGGGTCTCAGTCTTCTAGAAAGAAGTTTTGCTGAAGTTATTCTGATTGGTTTGAATATGAAGTTAGGATTGATTATCGTGATGAAAATGATATTTCATTTTTATTAATATCAGCAAATTCATCATGTTTCATGGGTGGCCTGTTAGGTTAATCCCATAAGAGAGAAATGTATTGAAGAATCATCATGTGAAAATTCATGTTCCTGAAGAGCATAAGGTTATCTTGTGATTTTTTTTTTTTTTTACAGTCCCACCATTTTTACACACACACACACACACACACACACACACGCACGCACGCACGCACACAGTTGTTCTCTACTGGGGTGCAGTCTGTCACAGTGTCATAGGCCCAGAAGGGACCTTTCAGCTCATTTAGTCCAGCCTGCTAATTTTGATAATGGGCATGAGCCCTCAGACCATAGCATGCCAATGCCGTCCATGGGGTTTTCTTGGCAAAGATACTGGAATGATTTGCCATTTCCTTTTCCACTGGATTAAGGCAGACTTGCCCAAGGTCACACAGCTAGTAAGTATCTGAAGCCAGTTTTGAACTTGGGTCTTCCTGATTCTAGCACTCTACTCACTGAGCCACTTAACTGCCTCCATTACCACCACCACCCCCATCTCCCCTCCTTCTCGGGAGTATTTCTGAAATGTATTGTCTGGTGCTTCTTGAAAGCCCCAAAATATTATATAAATGTAGCTTCTCGTTATTGTGTTTAGATTTAACTAATGGGGTAATCATTAACAACTAAGACTTGAGACATTTGATCTAGGCCCCGAATGTTAGTTTTCTAGTTCACAAGAAAATAGGATAGTTGGGGCTGCCTCGTGGAAACGACAGCAGGACCAACAAAACACCCCAGAACTTACCTTGTTCAGAATTACCTGGCTCTTTTCTTCCTCACCAGCACCTGTACTAAATGGAAGGCAGCTTTCTGATCTCAGAAAGAAGGCAGGGATGGTGTCTATAGTGAGAACAAATCAAGGATGGGCATAGTGGAAGATGAAGGTGCTTCCTTCCTTCTTTCTGTCCCTCTTCCCTTTAAGGAGCTTAGTCTCTTGATAAACTCATTCTGCAGATGAGAACCACATCATTAGTACATTCTCCCTATGTCATCTTCTGTGATTTTCATGTACCCTGCTTTTCTTGGCGTCTCATTTCTTTCTCCCTCACCCATCTCTCTCCATGTCAGGAATCTCTAATGAAGCCCAGTTTGTGTTTACTGTTCAGAGCATCATCATGGCACAGAAGCTAAAAGGGACGCTGTCCTTTATAGTCAAAGTAAGTGCAACTTTAAACTCTGTTTTTGCATTGAGTCTGATCTGTGGGCTTTTGAGTTTGCACATAGAAAGCACTGCTTTAAAGGGCTTCTCTGGAGCAGCATTTCACCTGTCACATTTCACTTGCCAACTGAACGCTCCAAAGGGACCGCCACCTTCACAGCAATTGTCCTAAAACCAGATTGTTTGCACTTTCATTGTTCAATGCTTGACCCTGCCTTAAGCTGAGCAGATCAGCTGTGATGGACTCACCTGCCAGCAAGAGAACCAGTTTGGAGCTGCTGGGTTCCTCCTTAAAACTGGCATTGCCTGAGGTAACTGGGGTCCATCTTCTTAACATAAAAAAAGAGAGGAAAATCTAAATATATCTGTATTTAAAGGAGTCCAGCAGTCTTTAGCTAGAGAAAAGGTTCAAAATGGATTTCTGAAGGTGTTATGGTGATTTTACTTTCTAAAGCTGTTGTGATTTTTAGCCATGACATAATTTTTAAAATGCAGAGCCCAGGGAATGAATTTTAAAAATATAAAACCTGCCCCTCCTCCCGTATTCTCCCTTCCCATAACTTCAGTGGAATCATGGGACTGAGCCTGCCCCTGGGCTGTGGGCCTCCTTCATTTGTTCAGGAGGTCTAGCCTGCTGTGGGGATGGTGCTGGAACCTGGGGATCCTGAGGGCACTCCAGGGTCTCCCTTCTGCAGAGCCTCTGGCCTCCATTCATCTCATTTCCTTTGGCCTGTTGCAGAATGACGAAGGCTCCACCCATGAAAAGCTAGATTTCAAATTACACTTCAGCTGCACCTCATACTTGATCACCACGCCTTGCTATAGGTAAGTAGGTAACAAAGGCAGCAGCTCCGACCTCCCCCACAGCTTCCTGTTCTGCGCTCCTCACGCAGGCTCTTGCTTTGGCTATGTACGTCCAGCTGAGCTTTGGCTGTACATACCCTGGTTGTTACCTTGCTAGTCACTAAGCCCTTTTTTTCTCTAATTCATTTGTCTCCCATATTGTTTTGTTAAAGGAAACACAGTGGTTTGGGGTAACATTCATTTGAAGTTTCTCATGAGCTTACTTAAAAATGACATTTTGATCTAAAAAGAAAGTGTCCCCATCTCTAATATTAGCATGAAAGTCTGTGACTTGTCAGCAGGAGATTTTGAGCCAGTAATGTCTTAAAGGGGACACTTGGGCATACCGTCCTGCCTCCAAGTCTGTTGTTGCCTTACCTTGCTAGTAAAGGTACTATTATTTTTTTTTAATAAAAGTACTGTATCTTTTAACATTTGATCTCTTGCTGCCTTTAGTTCTTGCCACAGTTCTTTTTTTGGGGTACGGGGTTGATTGTGAACTCTCTGGGGAGTCAAGAATGTTCATTCAGTGCAGTCTCTGGGTTGTCCTTCCCTCCCCACTTTTTATTTTTGGAACAGTGATGCTTTTGCCAAGTTGTTGGAGTCTGGTGAGCTGAGCATGAATTCCATAAAAGTTGATGGAATTAGCATTTCTTTCCAACACCTGCTGGCGAAGATTTGTTTTCACCATCACTTTTCAGGTAAATTTATTTCATCTCTTTTACTAATTGAGGCTTGAGAAATTTTTTAACTTCTTCCTACCAACATTTAATAAAAGGGTTCCCACATCATAGTAAGTCATCCATCTGTCTTCCTCCTTTGGAATGGTTCCTGTTTTGGGGAATGCAGAATTAGAATACACTGAGGCACAGCCTGCTAGTGAGGAAATTTGTATGATTTGGGGCCGTATGTCTAAACTAAGGATCACAGAGTTATGGATTTGGAGCTAGAGGGAACAACAAATGTCATCTGATATAACTCTCATTTTACCGATGAAGAAATTGAGATTAAATGACTTGACCAATGATTTTCCTTCTGTCAATCTAAAATCTGCCTCTCCTTGACTACTTCTCATTGGGCCCAATTCTACCTTGTAGAGCTAAAAAGAACAAATCTAATTCCTCTTCTTCATTACAGGCCTTAGTTGAAGACAGCTAACATATGTCTTCCCTCTGAGTCTTCTCCTAACCCAGCTTTCTTCTCTCTAGGCTAAAGATGCCTATTGCTTTAAAACAATCTTTCTATGACAAGACTACAGTTGGAAATACAATTGACGATAGTTGATCCATGGTGTAATACTTTTGGTTCATCTTGAAATTAAATCCAGTGAGCTTACCCCAGCCAAGTAAAGCATCTTCTTAGCTCTTGAGCCTGTGTTTTTATCATCTGTCCCTATTAATTAACTTTCTGGGGTGGTGTCTTTTTACCTACCCATAGTACCCAGCTCTGTGTTCTCCCCACCTCCCTAGTATATTGTGTGAGTGATTTTTTTTTTAAATAAATTTTTGTTGATGACTTCTCTTTCTTAAATCATTCGTTATCCCAAGTAGCCCTCACTGCCCTTACAGAGAGTCGTCTTATATAGCAAATAGTGTTGTTTTAGAGAGTAAAAAAAAAGTCAGCATAACTAGTCAATGCACTAAAAAAGTCCAAAAACCTGTTCATTGTATAATACCTGTAGACCTCCCACCTCCATGAAGAGGTGAGTTGGGGGTGTTTTCTCATATCTTTTCATTCAAGTTGTACTTGATCTTTATAATTTTGTTACAGTCATTTTTGATTTTTTGATGTATAGTTCTTTCCATTTATGTAATTATAGTTATTGTGTATGCTGTTTTCGTGGCTCTGCTTGCTTCACCTTGTATACATTCATATGAATCTTTCCATGTTTCTCTGTGTTCATCACATACATAATTTCTTAAAGCATAGTAATATTCCTTTATATTCTCATACCACAATTTGTTTAGTCATTCCCCAAATGATGGGTATCTATTTTGTTTCTAATTCTTTGTTATGACAAAAATTGCTGCCATAAATATTTTGGTGTATGGGAGGACTTTTTCCTTAGCAATGGCTTCCTTAGGAGATGAACCCAGTAATGGAGTCTCTGATTCAATCTGCACAGACATTTTAGTCACTTTATTTGCATAATTCCAAATTGATTTGTATGGTTGTACCATTTTACAGATCCACCAACAATGTATCAATTTGGTTATTTTTCCACATTCTGTCCAGCACTATTGCCATTTTTTGTTATTTTTGCCAATTTTCAGGGTGTAAAGTGAAACCTCAGGGTTGATTTGATTTGCATTTTTCTCTTAATATTTGTAATTTGGAGAATTTTTTCATATGGTTGTGAATAGTTTGCAGTTCTTTTGAGAACTGTTTGTTCATATCCTTTGATAACTTATCTATTGGGGAATGGCTTAGTCTTTTATATATTTATTGTTTATATATCTTAGATATCAAACCATTATCAGAGAAATTTGATACAAAGATTCTTTCCCAATTCATTCCTCATTCACTTCCTTTCTTATTCTAGATGCATTAATTTTGTCTGCAGAAGCTTTTCAATTTCATGTAATCAAAGTTATCTATTTTATCTTTTGTAGTTGCTTCTGTCTTGTTTCATTCATTGACTGTTTTTTCATAAGAGACCATGAGAATGCTGAGAATTGAATTCACACTGTGATTATTTTTCAGAATGAACACTTCAGTTTATACGTTAATAACATCTAGAGTAAGAATAATTGTAGACCAAACAAAAGATAAAGAACATTATGAAGTGCAAAATGGATAATTTTGATTACATTAGATTGAAAAGTTTTGGCATGAACAAAGCCAATGCAACCAAGATTAGAAGGGAAGCAGAAAGCTGGGAAACAATTTTTATAACCAGTGTCTCTGATAAAGGCCTCATTTCTCAAATATATAGAAAACTGAGTCAAATTTATAAGAATACAAGTTATTCCCCAATTGATAAATGGTCAGGGTATTATAAACAGGCAGTTTTCAGATGAAGAAATTAAACCTATCTGTAGTCATATGAAAAAATGCTCTAAATCACTATTGATTAGAGAAATGCAAATCAAAACAACTCTGAGGTACCACATCACACCTATCAGATTGGCTAACATGACAAAACAGGAAAATGATAAATGTTGGAGAAAGATGTGGGAAAATTGGAACACTAATGCATTGTTGGTGGAGTTGTGAACCGATCCAACCTTTTTGGAGAGCAATTTGGAACGATGTCCAAAGGGCTATAAAAATATGCATACCCTTTGACCCAGCAATAGCACTTCTAGGACTGTATCCTAAAGAGATCATAAAAATGGGAAAAGGACCCACATGTACAAGCATATTTATAGCAACTCTTTTTGTGGTGGCCAAGAATTGGAAGTTGAAGGAATGCCCATCAATTGGGGAATGACTGAACAAGTTGTGGTATATGAATGTATTGGAATACTATTGTTCCATAAGAAATGATGAGCAGGTGTATTTCAGAAAAACCTGGAAAGACTTGTATGGACTGATGCTGAGTGAAGTAAGCAGAACCAGAAGAACACTGTACACAGTAAACAGCCACGTTGTGCGATGACTTAACTTCCATAGACTTAGCTCTTCTCAGATGCAAGGATCCAAGACAGCTCCAAAGAACTCATGATGGAAAATGCTATCCACATCCCAAGAGAGAACTACTGAGTTTGAATGCAGAGCATGCTATTTGCTCCCTTTTTTTTTCTTTTGTTTCTTCTTTCTAGTGGTTTCTCCCATTGGTTCTAATTCTTCTTTACAGCATGACTAATGAGAAAATATGCTTAATATTAATGTGTATGTATAGCCTATGTCAGATTGCACACTGTCTTGGGGAGAGGGAGAAAATTTAGAACTCAAAATCTTACAAAAGTGAATGCTGAAAACTAAAAATTAATTTTTAAAAAACCATCATTGTAGAATCTAAGGATATTAGCTGCAGAAAACGATTTCTCATCCTTGAAGCCATAAAAAAATACATATTTGTGTGTGTGTGTATAAAATAATGGCCCAAGACTTAAAAAATTACTCTTATAACTGCTTGTTGTAATATTTGCCTATTGTTTTGTTTGATCTTTGGGGAATTACTGGAGGCAGAGGGAGGAATAAGTTCAACCAGTGTCTTTCTGATTTCTGTTTTTTAATAACCTCGTCATCCTTACATTCACATTATCTCAAAACATTGGTGTCACATTGGGCTCTTTCCTCTCTCTAACTCCTACCATGTCCAGTCACTCACCAAGTCCCATTGATTCTTTTTTCATTCTTTCTTCTCCTTATTTCTGGATCACCACAGTCACTTCTTCATTCATCTTCCCTCTTAGCCTCGGTTCCTTCCTACTCTCCAGCTTTCATCATGTCAGTGCCTCTCTCCTAAACCTCCTGTGGATCTGCACAGTCCATAGCTCACTCTTGTCTCCACACTCTGGCCTTTTTCCATCTTCTCCAGAATGGACTCCCAGTATTTCCCTTTTCAGACTCCTCCACTGCAATCGAAAAAGACATGTGCTAACCATCCTCCACACACACTGTGGGCTTTCTAGGTTCCCTGCCTTTGTACAGTTCATCCTGGTGTAGTGGAAAGAACACTGGATTTGGAATCAGAAGAACTGATTTCAAATCCCAGCCGTTGTGACCTGCCAGCTGTATTACCTTGGGCCAGTCCTTTCACCTTTCTTTTCTGGAAAATTACAGGATTGGACTAACCGATTAGAACATCTTTTCCATCTGAAACTCTTACGACTGTCAATGATATCTTCCCTCCCCCTGCCCCCAGTTTCTACCTACCAAAATCCTACCCAATTTTCAAGGATCATTTCAGATCGCCACCCTAGTCAGAATTTCATATGCCACCTTATCCTTTTTGGTGTATGTGCTTTCTAGCCCGTCCCAGATTGAGGGCAGGGATTATGTGTTAGCCATTTGAGGACCACCAGAATTCCAGTCTTGTACGTAGCAGTCATTCAGTAAATGTTTGAATGAGTGAAAGAATAGAAGCAGTGCTTCTGAGAGATTTCAGGGCACAAGGACAAAGCTCCTATGTAAGGCTTGAAAACTGGAACACCACCATCTTCTTCCCCCACCCCACCCCCCCCAAAAAAATTTTTTGAAAATTGTTTGTCCCTGTGTTACTAACCGCTGGAAGTTTTTTGCCTTCATTGTAACCCAGATGATTTGATTTATCTCCTATAGAGCTTGGAGAATGGGATATTTTCCTCATTTAAAATGTGCATTTATAAAAAACACTGTTTTGTGCTCAAGGGGGCTGCCAACTTTGGCTCTAGTGGTGAGAATTGTGTGTCTCATTCTTGGTGTATTTCAATTAATTGTGCATTGAAATACCCCAAATGTCCACCGTTACTCTTAAGTGAGTTTAGCATTCTTCCCATGCTCCTCAGAGCTCAAGTTTAGGCGAAGATTTTTCATTATAAGTAATAATAATAATAGTGTTTGTATAATGCTTTAAGGTTTGCAAAGTGCTTTACAAATATGATCTCATTTGATTCTCACAACAACAGTGGGAGGTAGGTGCTGTTATGACCCCATTTTATAGATGAGTAAACTGAGGCAGACAAAGGTTCACACAGCTAGTTAGTGTCTGGAGGCAGATTTGAACTCATTTCTTACTGACTCCAGGTCTAGTGCTCTATCTACTGTGCCACCTTGAAAAACGTGAAAATTCTTCTTTCCTAATTGAATCCAGAAGCTGCTTCCAGCCCCCACTTTGGGACCTGGACTTGTAGTGCTCACAGTTATCTCCAGATTGGATACTGCATCCCCCACCTCCCTCGCCTCCCATCTTCCCTGAACCTTGAGTATTGTCAGGGACGTTGACCCTAGAAAGACTATGTATCTAGGAATCAAGAATATTGTTTGATGAAGTTGACTATGGTGGCTGTTTAATGTGTTGTAGTTGTGGAACGAGTTGATTCCTGCGCCTCCATGTACAGCCGTTCTATCCAAGGACATCACGTCTGCCTGCTCGTGAAGAAGGTGAGGTTCCCTCTCCTGCAAAGAGGGTGAGAGAGGTGGAGGTGGGCTGGAGCTGAAACTGGAGCACAGAAGCAGCCAGCTGGGCCCTGGGGGTGCCCTGGCCTCTCGTGCAGCCACTGCCCCTTCCCCAACCATGACCAGTCTTAGTGCAGGCAGGCCCAGAGTCAGGGTGCCACTCCAGAGATGGTCCTGCTGCTCACAAAAAATGCAAGGAGACCCTGGAACATGGTGCTTGTGCTTTACTGAAGCCTTTCTTCCCAACAGCTCCAGGAAGCCCCATTTAAAAGCTCTACACTCTTAAGGTGTGGTGGCTTACAATTTTTCTTTTCCTTTGCAGGGAGAGAATTCCGTATCAGTGGATGGGAAATGCAATGACCCCACCCTACTCAGCAATTTGTTGGATGAGATGAAAGAAACCTTGGCCAAATGTTGAATAGCCCCTTACGCCCCACCTCTGCAGAAGATGCACCAAGGACAGCTTTCAAGTGTTACATTTCTCCCTCATCCGCATGTACTAGACTGGGCACGTGCTTTTCATTTAACGTCACAGTCACCCGCAGGTTAGACGTCCCAAGGCTGTAGGTTACGTTGGTTTCTTTTATTTTAAAATTTTTTCACTTTGAACCTTTTTACCGACTGTAGCAATAACCCTTTCCAGCCTCGAAACCTTCTGAAGTCCAAGACTGCCCAGAATCTCTGTATCCAGCTATTTCCCATAGTCTAGTTGTATCTCTCCCCCATCCTGATTTTGGGTGCTAGAACCCCTGACTAGTCACAGACGGGTGCCGATGGCAGTAACTGTGTCAGTCAGTTCTTAAGAAGGGAACCCAAGACAAGTCTGCAGAACGTCCCTTCAGGGCAGTGCGGAGGAGCATGTATGGAGCCAGCTGGTGTGCAGGCCAGATTCTCTCTGAACCCTTTGCTGTACACATACTTGATTTTGACTTTTGAGTAATTGGAGGATGGGTTGGGGGGAGGGGCGGCAGGGAATGGAGGAAGAAGAAGGGGAGATTGAATTCAGCTGACTTGGACTTCTACTTTGGAGCAAAGCCCGGGGGCTGAAAAGAGTTAAATTCCCTTTTTCCCCCTTCCTTATTCATCTCAAAATCTGCACAATTACATATCCCCTTCTAGTGATTTCTTGCTGATGTGCTCCTGTAAAATCCACCAAAATCTCACATCATTGAAAGATAGAATGTGGCAAAGGAACTGGAAGTCCAAAGGGATGTGTGGATGTGGATGTGGGGGAGTGTCTCTGTCTGGGTGTGGATATTTCTGTGTCCTTGACTGGAAAGACTCTTTGACTTGTCAGATGAGGTTGGCAAGTACTATTTTAAGCTTCATTGCCCCTCTCTCCCCACCCTTGAAGTTTTCATTTGCCCCCAAACTCAGTGCATAAAAGATGTAATGGTGTGTCACTTTCCCCTTGTTCCTCATAAACTTTGTCACAGTGCTGATGGTTCGTCGGAGAGTGGCTAGTAAGAGTCCAACAGAGTCCCAGAAATCTCAGTTTTTGCTGAGGGGAGCTGTCTGGGGACGAAGGGGCTTAGGATTGGGTTTAGAGTATGCCACTACAGAGACAGGAAGAGTGGTGGTGGTAGTACCGGTAACCAGGGGAAGTAATCAAATACAATCATTGATGGTAAAAAGGGATTGATTGTTCTGGCTCTGGATAATGACCCCGTCATACTCTGTTCAGTTTTATTTCAGGGAGGGGTTGAAATTTTGAGATTTGATGCCAATTTTAGGAGTGTAAATTGGAGCCCCTTCCACTCATCTCATTACTGGAACTGTGGTTTTCAACATGGTGCAACTGCAGCTGTCAGAAGGGTGTCCAGAAAGACAAGAGAGGGACAAACTCAGGTTGTTTGCACTTAAATGTTCTTGGTAATACTTGAAATGCCATTCCAGAGGCCTAAGTATTACCAACCAACCTCCAAGTGGAAATTGTGAGGCCAGGAGGCCCATGTAGTAACTTCCCCAAGCAGGGTGTATGCTGGGAAGTAAGCCCAGAGCCTCTTCATAGGCCTCCTCAGTGTGTGCACAATGAGGGAAGCCCTGGGATTCTTTGCAATAAGCTCCTGGCGTGAAATGGTGTGTCTGCAAGGACCCCTTCCTTAGCAGCATCAATGAGATGGGCATTGGGATCTAAGAAGCATTATTTGTTGTCTGATTGCACTTGTCTATTCCAGGGATTGTGTAAGCAGCAGTTCAGTTGGCTGGTACAGTGTCATTTTGTTTGGGACAGCCAGCTTGTGTTAAAGACTGAGCGTATTGGAAACTCGTCAGAGATAATGGTCCTTAATGAATGGAAATTCACATTTTCTTTTTCATGGATAAAAACTGTCACTTTAGCATGTAGAGTATTCTCTATTACAGAATCCTGTGCAGTGATTCTAGAATTTTGAGACTGTATGATGTGTTATATTAAAGAATTTATTTGCTATCAACATTCCCTTACAAAGAAAAGAAAAACATACCACAAGCTGCTGTAATGATTTTGTGTCAAGATGATCCAATAAAATTTCAAAACAGAAGTTTAAACTTGGTGTGTCCTCCCTAGATTTTATACTCCTCCCAAAGAGTTGCAGAATCACTGAGTTTTAGAGTTGGAAGGAACCTAAACAGCCTCGAGTCCAGCCCAAGTCACAATGAAGAATTTCCCCTATGGCGAATCTGATGAGTGTTCGTGCAGCCCCCGTTCACTGACTGAAAGTCCTCAGAGTTAGCCTCATGGACAAATCCACTCAGTTAACCACCACTCCTCTCCCATTCTCCTAAAGTTCCATGCAAACCGCCTTGCCCTGGGAAGAGCAAGAGGGTTCAAATTAGGAGACCTGGGCCCTAAGATTGTAAGACTTAAACTTGAAAGACATCTTAGAGAGAATATAGACCAGCCTCTTTATTTTATAGGTGGGGAAATTGAGGTCTGGAAAGATCTATAATTTGCCTAAGTTCACACAGGTAGAAAGAAATGGCTAGAAGTTTTGAACCTAGTTCTGTCTCTCAATACAGTACTTTACTCACCTTACCACACTGCTTCCCCATTTTGGCTGTTCCAATAGCTGTGCAACTCTAGACAAACCACTTGACCCATCTGGGCCTTAGTTTCCTTATCTTTATAATGGGATACTGACTTGCCCTACTTATGTCATGGAAATTATTAGATGTCTAGGTGCTTTGGCAACATGTGGTAGTATTTATTCCCTACACACACACACACACACACAGCCTTTTCCTTCAAGATGCAGTTTAGCAGACTATTCCCTTGATGACTCATCGTGGGAGGCAGACAGAAGGGAAGAACAGGAGATCCTGTTAGGCCCATTAAGATTTCATGTCAGATATGTCAAGGCAAACGTCTCTACTCTTACCCATCCCTTTTTCGTTGGTTCTGCTCCCTCTCTTCCATCTTCACATGCATCTTCCTCCTTTCCTCCAAGTTCAGAGGATAAGATGGCCTTTCTTCTTGCCAAGACTTAGGAATCCTGTGATTTTATCCCATCCAGGACCTTGCCTCTTCTGTCATTCCCCTTCCCTCAGATCTCCAGTTTTTCCCTATTATGACTCATTCTTCACTGCACAACATCCTCAGTCTGGCCTTTCAAGCCCTTCACAGCCTGACTTCTTGGCACCTTTCCATTCTTTTTACACATCATGGACTCTGATCCAGAGACACTGTCCTTGCTGTTCCTTGCATGGTGACGCAGTGCCTTTGCACTAGATGGAACCCCGTACTGAGAAGGCTTTCCCTCTTCATCTCAGCTATCTCATACCCCATTAGAATGCAAGCTTCTTGAGAGCAAGGATTATATTTGCCTTTCCTCAGGTATCCCCCACACTTAGAGCTTAATATATGCTTATCAGCTGACTCACCCTTCAGGTATCTTCTCGTCCCTGCCATTTCTTCAAGCTACATCCAGTCTCTCTCCTCCCTTTCATTACAGAGCTCTAGAAGGGGTAACCTATATTCACTTTCTGCATTACACACACACACGTGTGTGCTCAGACCCACACACATTGGGTGCGCACACCTACATGAACTCAGCCCCTTACAATCTATTGACTTCGCCATTATTTGAAACTGCTATCACTATTGAAAATTCTTAACCGCTAAATCTAATGACCTTTTCTTGGTACCCATCTTGACCTTTTTGCCACTTTTGTTACTGCCAAAACCCACTTCGTACTCCTGTTTATTTTCTTTTCCCTTGACTTCACTGACACACTCTTTATTTTTAATTCACTGATATATTTTATTTAGACAAAAGAAATTTTCAGCAAACACCCAAGTGAAAGTTTCTCGTGTACTACAAGAAGGAAGAAGGCAAGATGGCACAGTGGTTAGAGAGCTGGCTCTGCCATGCTGTGTGAAATTCTAGACAAGCCACTTCACCTATCAATCAAGTACAGGGGCTCCTTATCCCTCCAGGTTCAAACAGAAAATTATCTGTTCCCAAGCCCTTCATAACCTGGCCTCCTCCTACCTTTGCAGTCTTTTTACACATTGCTCCACCATGTGTTCTGGGGTTTGGTGACACTGACCTTGCTATTCCTCACACAAACATTCCATTTCCAGACTGTGCATTTTCTCTGTCTGTCCCTCATGCCTGAAATATTCTCCCTCCTCTCCTCGTTGGCTTGCTTCATGACCCAGCTAAACGCTTACATTATACAAGAAGTCCTTCCCAACTTCTCTTAATGCTAGTAACCTCATTCTGTTGATTGGCTCCAACTTATTCTGTATATATCTCATTTGTACATAGTTGTTTGCTTTAGACTGTGAGTTCCCTGAAAGCAGGAATGATCTTTTCCCTTTCTTTGTATCCCCAGCCCTTAGCACAGTGCCTGGCACACAGCCGGTGCTTAATGAGTGGTTAAAGTGAATGTAAATAATAACTGTTTCTCTTTTGGCCAGCAACCCTGAGGGTCTTCCCTTCCCAGTTTGCTTTTTATTTTTATTTTTACTTTTTTTTATTATTAAAGCAGCCATCCCTTGGCACACTTCTTAAATAGGGCTATTCACCAAATGGGCATTGCCTCACTCAAAGTGAGACCTCGGAAAGACCTTAGCTTAAAAAGGCCATGGTCTCCCATTGCATCCTGGGCCATTTCCAGTTGTCACCCAGATGGCTCTGGAGGAGAAAGTGAGGCTGGTGACTTTGCACAGCCCTCCCTCCCTCAAATCCAATTCAGTTACCAGCCATGTCATCATCTTCCTGATGTGGTGGTTCTTTTAGAGGATGAAAAACAAACCACACACGGCTTGCTGACTGACTTCACGATACCTCCAGCAACTCCCTGAGATGATCGAGTTATATCATAGGTGCCAGCCTACATTAGGAGAGGAAAGTCCTCACCAGGAAGAACGTCCTCTAAATCCAATTTTGGTTGAAAGGGCAGGAACTCACTTTGAGCTCTCCCCCAAACCCCTCCAAATACCTGTAAAAAACGACTCTGAACAAATTCTAGAGCAGCAGAACCCACAAAAAGACAGAGGGAAACAATTTTCCAGCCCAAGACAACTTGGAAGGTCAGCAGGAAAGGTCTGTTGCACCGGGCTGGGAGAGGAGCGCAGTCTGGCCCGAGGGGACTGGATCACTGTCAGCTGTGGCAGTTTCCAGACTTCTCAACCCACAAATGCCAAGGACAACCTGAGTGAGAGAGGAGTGGAGTCTGGCCCTGGCTCCAGCACGGCCCTGGGTGGTGGTGGTGGTAGCTTCCAGGGCTCTCAGCCCACAGATGGTAAGGGGATTGAACAATTGATCAGAAGGAGATTACGGGGGTCTTTTTGCTGGCAGGCATTGAAGCAGGATTCTGTTGCTTTGCCCATACTTGGATCTTTGTTGCAGTCTTGGGGCGAGGAGGAGAACTGGCGTAGCAGAGCTTGTGGCAGCAGTGGAGATGGAACCCTCCTCACAGTTCTGGGGTAGAAGAGAATTCTTGTGGTCACTTACAGACCAGAGCACTGGCCAGGAGAGAAGTAAATACTTCTCCTTAGATTATACCACCTTGGAAGAACTGAAAACTTACAGGTCCCTAGAATTATCTCTGAAAACAGCTACACAAATGCCTGAAGCTTTGGATAGTATGCCTTGCACACTGGAAGCAGAGCCCTACCTTAACGAAAAACTTAAAAAGTCAGGTAATTGTCTGGGAAAATGAGCAAATAATGGAAAAAAACTCATAGACTGTAGAAACTTACTTTGGTGTCAGGGAAGATCAAAACATACAACCAGAAGAAGACAACAAAGTCAAAGCTCCTACATCCAAAGCATCCAAGAAAAATATGAATTGGTCTCAGGCCATGGAAGAGCTCAAAAAGGATTTTGAAAATCAAGTAAGAGAAATAGAGGAAAAGTTGGGAAGAGAAATGAAACTGATGCAAGAAAATCATTAAAAAAGAGTCAGCAGCTTGCTAAAGGAGACCCAAAACAATACTGAAGAAAATAACACCTTAAAAAATAGACTGGACCAAATGGCAAAAGAGGTCCAAAAAGCCAGTGAGGAGAAGAATGCCTTAAAAGAATTGGCCAAATGGAAAGGGAAGTCCAAGAGCTCACTGAAGAAAATAGTTCCTTAAAAATTAGAATGGAGCAAATGGAAGCTAATGACTCTATGAGAAATCAAGAAATTATAAAACGAAACCAGAAGAATGAAAAATTAGAAGACAATGTGAAATATCCCATTGGAAAAACAAGTGACCTGGAAAATAGATCCAAGAGAAATAATTTAAAAATCATTGGACTACCTGACAATCAAAAAAAGAGCCTAGACATCATCTTTCAAGAAATTATCAAGGAAGACTGCCCTGATATTCTAGAACCAGAGAATAAAATAGAAATTTAAAGAATCCACCAATCACCTCCTGAAAGAGATTCCCAAAAGGAAAACTCATAGGAATATTATAGTCAGATTCCAGAGTTCCTAGGTCAAGGAGAAAATACTGCAAGCAGCCAGAAAGAAACAATTCAAGTATTATGGAAACACAATCAGGATAACACAAGATTTAGCAACTTCTACCTTAAAGGATCAGAGGGCTTGGAATATGATATTCCAGTGGTCAAAGGAGCTACAATTAAAATCAAGAATCACCTACCCAGCAAAACTGAGTATAATCCTTCAGGAGGAAAAAATGGACATTCAATGAAATAGAGGGCTTTCAAGCGTTCTTGATGAAAAGACCAGAGCTGAATAGAAAATTTGACTCAAATACAAGACTCAAGAGAAGCATGAAAAGGTAAACAGGAAAGAGAAATCATAAGGGACTTATTAAAGTAGAGCTGTTTACATTCCTACATGGAAAGATGATATTTGTAACTCATGAGACCTTTCTCATTATTAGGGTAATTGGAGGGAATCTATATAGACAGAGGGCATAGGGTGAATTGAATATGAAGAGATGGTATCTATAAAATGAAATTAAGGGGTGAGAGAGGAATGTACTGGGAGAAGGAGAAAGGGAGAGGTAGAATGGGGTAAATTATCTCACATGAAAGAGACAAGAACAAACTTTTACAGTGGAAGGGGGAAGAGGGAGGAGG